TCTTCTGAGAAAAGTCGCCTGTGCAGTTTTTACCAATTTAGCACCTTAGATTTTTATCCTGAATGACAATGGTTTTTTCCTTCAATACGTTCCTTGATTTATGACAGAAATTCGCCACACTTTCGCGTTCAACTGTGTTGTAGAACTTTTATAATGAAGTTTCAGGATTGTTTCTCAAGTGCCGTTTCTGGTAATTATTTAGTAATTTTTTGGGGGTAGGTTCCTGCATTTAAGGCCTGGTCTCTAACTCGCGTACTCAACAATATATTGATCTGAGAAGCATGAGAATTTGGTCCAATAAAATATCCTGTTTATCCTTAGTAAGTTGAACCTGTCGGTGGCAGGGAGGGAGGACGGGAGTTGAAGGGCTCTCAAGCTTTCTTAAATTGAGTTATTACATAGAGCATAGAGCAAAATCCTTAGCACAATTTTGACATACAGCTGCTTTCCGGGGTGACCCTCACAGCATAATGTTCGAATTCCCGAGCATGATATATATGACCCTATATAAGAGACCAGATTGTTCGTTGGCGAACACACATTTTTTCCTTTTGTTTTTGAAAAATTGTGTTGCCTGAACTCTACGTTCACACGGGGTAAAACTGTCAGCAGGGCAGTCGAGAGTGCAGTGCCGTGAAACAAAAGGATTAACTTGATAAAAAAAAGGGTCTCTCTCAAGACATCAGGGTCCAGTTGTATATAGGACGGATAACGATATCCAACGGATAAATCGCTATCCGGCAGATAAGTGATAGCAAAACTTGTAGCGTTATCCACCGGATAGAGTTTTATCCAGTGGGTAACGCTATCCAACCTTCGAACAACCGGGACCAGGAGTTGAAAAACGAATGAGAAACACCAATAAGAACTTGAAGAAATTCGAGTCCTTCTTATTTTCTAAATGCTAAAATCAATCTCGCCTAAGTTTCCATTATGGGTCAACTGCTCAAGTCGCATGAGAATTCAGTAACAGAACCAGAATCGTCCACTACGCTGTAAGATCTACACGCCGTACTAATTCC